GTCGGACTAAAAGTCAGAAAATAGAAATCGGTCAGTGAATAGTACCATCTGTACGGATGAGTAATGTTATCTGTATGATGAATAGTATTATCTGTATGATGAATAATGTTGTTTGTACGGTGAATAGTGATTTCGGGTTTTCGGGCTTTTTAGGTTCGGTCCATGGATCCATGTATAATTGGATTGTGATTTTGGGCTTTGTTTGTTGGGTATTTGTTATTATAAATATGCATCTCTTATATGCTTGCAGGTGGGACAATAGCTTATAACAATTTTTATTAGGAAAAGAATAGAAGCAACCAAAATAAATAGTCATTTTTATGAAGCTTCAATAAGTCAACATTAATCCTTAATTGTCTGGATAGTTTCTAAAGAGTGCATAGTCATGACCATTCCAGATTGTGAAACTATGTTGTTTTCCAGAATCTAGGGGTTTGGCTATTCTCAAGAGAAACCTTAGAAAGGAAATAGTTTTGGAAACCTTTGAGGTTATCTAAGGTTATTGGGAATTGAGAAACACTTGTTTATATATTGGGTTTGAGTTATTCATATATTGAAGGTTGAAGAGGTTGGGAAACACTTGGGAAGAAAATAGGGTAATTCTTGGGCGCATTCAGGGTCGTTCTTGGGAACCTGAAGGCGAAGACTATTTTCTTGTAACTTATTTGTAATCTCTCGTAACAACTTTTTGAGTATATTGAATTAGACAACTACTCTCTCCCCTAGAGTAGATCGTTTGATCAAACTGGGTAAACAAACCTTCGTCTCTTTCTTGCCTTATTATGTTATATTATCTGTATACGAATTATTGTTGTTGTAGACCATTTATTTTTGCTACTACTATTCTTTTCCTCACAAATTGATATTGAATTTTGTCATAATTCACAACAAGATTTACAACATACTATTTAATCGATAATCATATAACGACACAGAGTATGTAATGTAATAACATCGACTCATGCATGTGGTACCAAACTTCACTAATGAACACCGGGTCATCGCCCTCCAAAGGTCCCCGTTATAGGATCGATTCCCTCTTGGAACCGGAGCACATCATAATAACACACTCAATCCACACAATGAGATTGAGGCTTTCATTGGACAAATATCCTAACAATACGAATGGACCAACGTCCTAACATATGCCATGAATGTATGATGCACAACAACATTAATAATTCGACCACATCTAGTCAATTGCACCATCATTCATGTAATCATCATATAAATATTCTTCACATAGCATGTATTCACATCAAACATGCTTATTATCAACTTTATGCAATACATCATACATACGTCATAGTACAACATATAACATGCTTACAACAATCGACATATCGTACAATCATACATCATGTTTCATTAACACATATTCATATAAATTCATCATATAAAAATCATGGAAAGATACATCATGTTACTCATTTTATACCATACAAAACAACAACAAAATAACAAAAATATGCGAAAGTTTGCTTTCTCGAGGCTCACCCGGTGAAGCAGTCTGCTCAAAAAAGGCTCGCCCGACAAAGAAAAGGCTTGCCCGATGACGGGTCCTCGCTCTGCATTCACCCAATGAGGCAGAGGTGCTTCACTTATTTTCCAGGAGCGTGAAAATTTTGAAGTTTCCTCTCCAGACGCTCACGCGACGTTGCTAGGGCAAGATCGCTTCACCCGACAATACAAAACTCGCCCAACGACATCCTCATTATAACAACTTCTTGTTTCAATTCCTACATTAGTTTAGTTCCATTTTCATGCGATTTTCATACCAGTACAGTCGCAAATTCACCAAAATTTATCATATTACCATACCACAACAACACATTTCCATTCATAATTACACATAAAAATCATCACATTCACCATGTTATCATCAATCAACATAAACCATAAAATATACTCCTACACATACCTAAATCCCAATGATAATAATAAGGATCACCCCTTACCTGGTAATTCCTAGCGGATGATTTTTCTCTTCGCGTTCTCTATCGAAGTCCTCTAAGTTCTTCAATGCCCTAGCTCTTTCTCCATAACTTATTCCCTAAAACTCAATCGTACATAATGAACGCACAAAACCGAAATCTTCCCTTTTGTCACTCTTACCCCTAGGACCCTTATTATGAAATTCCTATCTTATCCTCACTAATCCCCATAATATTACCACCTTTCCCTTAATATCTCTACACACATTATCCTATTTAATTTAATAAAATAATTCTAAATAATTATCATTGAATCTTATTAATCCCAACTAAGTTATTTAAATTATAAATAATTATAAACTAATTATTAAAATTAATAATTCTCACCATCGCCTCAAACCAAGACTTCCCCACAACATTGTATCCCCAATACACCACAATGCATCATATAAATCATAATAATTCACAAATACTCACAAATAACTTTTTAAATAATTAACTATGACTTTTAGGGTGTTACACATCACATCAAGAAAACTTCTTACTTTAAGGCTAGACCATTACGGAAGATCAAAGAACACCAACCTCTTTTTCCAAATATTTTTTTCCACGAGTCCTTTTTGGTTCTTTCCAAAGACAACATTAATGTGTTGTTGTCTTTTATAAACATCCTTCTTGATTAAGGGTTTTAGAGCAATATCAAACCCATGTTATTCATTAAAAGCTTTATGCAATCTACAATATGAATTATTAGGTCTTAGAATTTTTTTATGCCCAATGCAAATAATATTTTTCCAATTTTGTAGTTTGTGGAAGCAAGTACCATCTTCACATACAGGACACGCTTTATGTACCTTGACATTGTATCTGGATAAATTATCATATGCAGGAAAGTTATTGATTGTGAAAAATAACATAGCACACATATTAAAGTTATCACCCGTATACACATCATCAACATCAACTCTTTCCTCCCATAAAACTCTTAAATCTTTAATCAATGGAGTTTAATAAACATCTATATCGTTCCCTGGTTGTTTTGGACACGAAATTATCATTGATAACATCGCATATTTACGCTTCATGCACAACCATGAAGATAGGTTATAAATGAGGAAAAAAACCGACCATGAAGTATATTTAACACTCATATTACCAAACATGTTCATTTTTTCATTGGAAAGTATAAGCCTAAGGTTCCTTGGCTCATGGGCAAAATCTCGAAACAACGAACTAGTTTTCTTAGATTACAAGAATCAGCTACATGGTGAATTTTTTCCATTACATAATTTTTCATATGCATGCCATCTAGCATTCTTTGTGCCATTTACATTAGCAAACAATATCGTGAACCTTTGAATTATCGGTAGGTACAACATCACCTTGGCAAGAACACCCTTTCTAGTTACACCATCATCATCTTCAATACAATTGTCCTTCAGCTTGTATCATGACTCCCCACACTCCGGATACTCCTTCAAGGATTCATACTCTTTTCTGTATCATATGCAATCATTATGACTTGCATGTATTTTGATATAGTCCAAACCCATTGGACACAATATCTTCTTGGCCTCATAATTACGATTGGAAGCATTTCTTGCAACAATTCAAGCAATTCAGTGAAACTTCTATCAGTATTCCCATCTTTTGCCTGTAGGTTGAATAGTCTTAACATAATTGACAATCTTGTAAAATTTCTACATCTAGAAAATAATGGATCTTCCATGTCTCTTTGCAAAGTATCTTTCACACGAGCTTTCTTAAAAGAATCTACTCCAATATCATAAATTATATCTTCTAGAGTATCATTCATATATTTATCAACTTAAATTCTATGTGACACATATCTTTTTTTGTCACTTCACCATGCAAATACCTATTTCGTGTAATTTTGAATAATTTCATCATAACCTAAATGATTTTATATATATATATATATATATATATATATATATATATATATATATATATATATATATATATATATATATATATATATATATATATATATATATATATATATATATATATATATATATATATATATATATATATATATATATATATATATATATATATATATATATATATATTTCTTTAGATGTTTTTGCATATTGTAGCATTTTTTCAAGGACAATAAAAAATCTCATTATTGTTAGAACGGTTTTTCTCCACAAATTCAAGAGATTGAATCACTCCATTCTCATACTCTTTACTTGTTCTATTGGATTTCATCCAACTACGATCCATAATCTCATACAACTTTTAAAAATAAAATAAATTTCATACAAAACCAACAACAATGAACATTTCATCTCAATAAATCAAGAATAACACTAAACAACAACTACAAATACTTGAAAAACAACACAACATTATACCCTAAGTCTCAAAAACCATAACAACAACCACAACAACAACGAAAACAAACAACAACATTACTGGTATAATTATGGAGAAAGTTTTACATACTAGAAATGTGATGAGTGAGTCAAAGAAATGTCTTTGTATGAGCTTTTATCTTTTTTATTCAAGCTTCCTTCCTCCTAGGAGAAAATGAAGAACGGTGTTTCCGTTTGTTAGGTGGAGAAGATGAAGAATGGTGTTTCTTTAGTTCGCTAGAGTGCAAAAAGTTTAGTTGCATGTCGGTTTTCAAGAAAAACGAGGGAAAAAGGTGATTTATAAAATAGTGGCTCACATCTAATTCTAAAAAAAAGCACAAAGTTGTAAGAGCTGAGAATCAAAGCTCAAACACTGAGCTACATTTTATGTCAATTTTCTAAAAACTCGAGGGATAATATTTTTTTAAAAAAATAATTCATAAAATAGTGGCTCACATCTAATTCTAAAAAAAAGCACAAAGTTGTAAGAGCTGAGAATCAAAGCTCAAATACTGAGCTACATTTTATGTCGATTTTCTAAAAACCTGAGGGATAATATTTTTTTTAAAAAACAATTCAATTGGCATGTTCTAGGTCATTTGACCTCGATTTTTAATTGACTGAGATGAAAGCTTTGTTATGAAATGTATTACTTATAGTAGTGACAATTAGTTGTCCCAAAATGATCCGCAACAAGGTAAATGATAAGGTTAGAAATCCACACGTGCTTCTTAGAAAGCTTACAACAGTCACTTGCCTTAAGTGTGGAGCGATGGTGACAGGGCTATCCCCAAAGGTGGAAATAAAAAGAAGAAGACTACAAAAGATGGGCATAAGAAGAAGACAAAGACATATTCAATAGAGATTAGAACCTCATCATAAGCACCCTAACCTACACAACCATCTAAACATTAGTTTTAATTAAAGTTATCTTGTAATGATGTTAATTAGTTGTTATTTTGATGTTAGAGAAAACATTTCAAGTATATGTTATTTTGAAATATAATTGTTATATTAATGTAATGAACAAGTATTACTTTTCAATGTTATAAGTATCATATTATCATGTTTCCTATTATCTATTATGTTGTTAAAATGCAATAAAAATGTAAACATGTTACATGTTAATTGTAATGGATTAAGTGTAGTTAAAAATGGCATGTAATGGGTTGTATTTTGTTGTTAATATGCCGTAAAAATCACAACATATAATGGCCTATAATGGCTTGTAATATGTTATCAAAATAAGGGTTTATAATGACTTGTAAATGATATATAATGACTTGTGATTTGTATTCAATACGTGGTCAAAATAATGGCATGTAATATGCTATGAAACTAGTGACTTGTAATGGCCTGTATTTTGTTGATAAATGGTTTGTAGTATGCAGTCAATTTGTAAACATGTCCAGTGAAAATACTATCAAAATTTCTCGTAAATAACCTATTATAAACATGTAAACTTGTATTGTCAAAATACTATCGATTCAAACAAACTTATATCAATTGACAATTTTGGAAATTTTCATAATCAGATGACATATATTTGAAACAATGTCAGTTGACAGATTTAGAACAATATCTTTTTCATTCATAAGTTACAACAAGATTGTTTCTAAACCTTAACAACTAAATAACAACACCACAACATGGTTGGTTCAAAACCTAAAGAATAATGGCATTTCTTATTTCATTACAGTTATTCATATTAACAACACAAAGTTCATGGCAAACGTAAAATTTAACTGCATATTTAGAAACTTGATCTTAATCTTCAATTCTTCCTCTTTGACCTTGCCTTTATTCACTTCAATATTCTCTAGACTTAATCTTTAAGTCAATGAAGAAATCGATTCTTTTGCTCCCAGGATCATCTCTTCAACATACCAAATAAACTAAATACACTTTTTATATCCATGATACTACAAAGAGTATACAAGAAATACGAGTTTAAACATTTTCGAAACACACAGATTGAACTTTGAACAAAATAATTATAGAGTATTAATACCTTATACATCTCACACCCGTAAAAACAACCACTTGTATTATCATCGGTCCATGCTGTCATCAATGGTGCATCGAGACCACATCTATATTCGTCTCGAATGAAAGGAGATTTCGTGCGACTACTTGCTTGGAATAACCAAACATGACTGTGTGCGATGAGGATGATGTATGCGACAGTGATTTAAGCTTTCTTTAAACTTGGATATGATGGAATGGAAGAAACTCAAAGAATAAGATCATGATAGATACACAATTAGTGCTTATGGAAAAGGAAAGTACAAACACGAGTGAGAGCATGAGATTTTCTAATTTTCTCTAAAATTGTTTTTAATATTTAAGAGTAATAAAAAGTTTATCTAGGAAATATAATTGAAATTTTTTATTTTATCATATTTTTATTTAATGATGAGGTGCCATATATTTTGACCACGTTATATTTTTTTAGGTACTAGATACATAAATACGGAGAGGGACAAAAAAATCGTAAAAATTTAGTAACAAACCAAAATATTGAAATTTTTTTAAAGGTGATAAAAAAAAAAGATTAAAATTTCATTTAAATCTAAAATTTATTTAAAATTTTAATTTAATTTAAAATAAATTATTATAAATAAATATCATGACATCCCTATAAATGAATGATCAGTATGTCCTCAATCAAACTTTAGGTATCACCTAAAAATATATAAATATATGTTCAAAAAAGAAATTTAAAAGTTTTATAGGAGAAATAAGTATTTTAACTATTTTATATTCAAGTATCCAAACAAGGTGTTAAATTCGGTTTCTTTATTCCAATTCTCGCTTCACTCCGAGCAAAATCTCCGTCTTCTCCGATTCCGGCTACGGCGTTGTCCACCGGTAATCGCAGCACCTCCATCCACCGTCAAAGAAGCCCCTCCTGTTGATGCGTTCGTCATTTCCATCCAGTCAATAGTCCAGCCAAGGTCTCTAATTTTTTCTATATATCTTACTGTCTTGCGCGCTATCAATTTTCAGAATATTTTCAATTTCACACATTACCATGAATGTGTGTTCTAATATACTCATTTTGATTTGTGAGATTCCAGTTCATTTGTTATTAGGTGGAGTATAGTTTTTAGATGTTTCAGAATTAGAAGCATTGTATTGTTGAAGATTTAGGGTTTGTTTGTATAACAGCTTATTTGCAGCTTATAGCATAAATGCTTATCAAATAGCACTTATGAATAAGCTCGTATAAGCTATTTTTATAACAAACGATAAAATAAATTTAAATTGTTATATATATATATATATATATATATATATATATATATATATATATATATATATATATATATATATATATATATATATATATATATATATATATATATATATATATATATATATATAAACTTATGCTAGTAGATAAGCTTAAATAAGTCAATTTAAACAGACATTTGATGTTAAACAAGTGTTAACTTACAAGTAACTTTGGAGATTATAATTCGATTGCGGTATCATAATTGAAGGGGGGAGAGGGAAAAAGTTGAGCAGTTTGTGAGAGTATTGAACTCTAAAGGTATGTTAGGTTCAAAGAGTTCTGAATTAAAATTTAATTCTTATAGATGCTGACTTCACCGATAAGACTTGTGAATGTGCTGGAGAGAATTGATGAATTTGTTCAAGTCTATTGATCCGAGGACATTTGAATCTCAAACATTTGTTCAATGGTTTCATCATCATACATCTGAAACATCGGAAGTTGGTGGATTAGAATACTAGCTTTTGTTGCTCTTAATTATTGTGAAGCTATTACATTTTTATACTAAGCTCTTGTATTACCAATCAACAGTATTGTTTGGCTTTGCAAAATGTACACGAATCTTTCATTAAAGCTCATATATCATTCTAGAGATGGTACATTTAATCACTTTTTTCTTCTTTTTCATTATGCTCAATCCTTTCCCGTCTTTCAGGTGTCCAAACAGAACACATTTTGCATTCTACTCAATTTCTGGGCTTTTGCTAGTACAAGAGAGGGAAATAGAGAGAGTAGTGCTGGCATAACAGAATCACTGTGAACATCAATGCGATTCCGCAGACTGGAAATGAGACCAATATTCCTTGACAAGCTTTTGAAACAACGATTCTTCTCTCTTCATCAAGCTCATTGGCTCGTCATACTCCACCAACTTTCCTGGAAATACAATCAGAGGCTTTTCATTCTTTGAAGAAATCAAGTAAGTGATAAGTATAACATATCCTTAACCTTTTCTTTTTCATGCTTTAAAGTGTGTGAAAGTCAAGTATCCTAGATTTTACATGTTATGATTTATGTGCTATATGCTATGTCAACATGTTAAACCAACTGCCTCATTGTTTATCACCCTATGATTGGTGTGTGTCAGTTAGAATATTTATCATCAACATAAGAAAATGTCTATGGACTATGAAGTCATGGATTCGTTTAAAAAATGTTTGTTAAATGAGATAGAGGGGCAATGAAACTGAAAAGAAAAAATTTACCATCACTGATTGAAAGAACCATAGTGCAATCCATCACAGTCGGTATTCTGTGTGCTACTGTGATCACCGTACAATCTGCAAACTCCGTTCTAATGGTTTTCTGTAGAATTGTATCAGTTGAATTATCAATCGACGCAGTTGCTTCATCCAGTACCAATATCCTACTTCTCCTTAAAAGAGCACGCCCTAAACAAAATAATTGTCTTTGTCCCATACTCCAGTTTGATCCATCTTCAACAACTGCACAAGAAGTTTTCACGAGTCATTACTAACTTAATCTATAGGAAAGACAAAATCATCAAGACAAAGGAAACACAGTCAGAAGAGACAATCCTAAATTTCTTTTCCAAAAATACCATTAACAAATGCTTATATTAAATGAACTAAGTGTACCTGAGGAGTTCAAGCCCTCTTCTTTCTTTTGAACAACTTCTCTTAGTTGGCACTTCCCAAGAACCTTCATATTAACCAATCATTAGTTTACATTTTCTATGCATTAAACAAAAAAATATAGAATGTTGAATATTTTTTTACCTCCCATATCTCTTGATCAGTGTGTTGGGATAAAGGGTCCAAATTAAATCTTACTGTCCCATTAAAAAGAGTAGGATCCTGAGGTATAATCCCAAAACGGGACCTCAAATCATAAAGGCCAATAGATGATATGTCTATGCCGTCAACTACAATTTTTCCTCCTTCTGGTTCCACAAGACGAAATAAAGTACCAATAAGAGTCGACTTCCCACTGCCTGTTCTGCCAACAATACCAATCTTGTGACTGGCTTCAAATGTGCATGTGATCCCATGAAGTACAAGTGGTCCACCAGGTCTGTATCGTATCTAAGATCGTATAAATAAACAAATTATGTACTTCATTTCAACTCCCGTTTTACTGCAACATTGTGATTCACATTTTGAAAATAAGTAAAAATTACCTTCAAGTCATTTATTTCTACTTTGCCTGCAATTGGCCAATTCAAAGGAGGACGATTGTCTTTTATTATTTCTTCGGCCTCACTTTGTATATGCATATATTGATTTAGCCTCTCTACTGATATTATATGATCAGCGAGGCTGCATTGGATTCGAATGGAAAATACTAAGGAAGCATTTAGTGTAAGGCCATATGACAGTGCCAGACCGATAAATCCTGAAATGAAAGATATTGAAATTTAGTAATTTGCTAAGGGAGATTGATGCTATTGTTTGAAGATAAAGCAAATGATTTAAGCAACCGAATTCTCACCAGAGGTGAAAGTCCCTGGTGGAAGTATAACCATGCAAAGTGCTGCAGAGGAAAGAACAAGCGCACTCATTGTTTCTAATCGTTGGATTAACCATTCGTTTGAGGCAAAACAATGGAAAAATGTACTAGTGTTAATGTCAATTAGATCAAGATGCTTCTTAAAAAAACGATCTTCCTCCTCAAACGCTCTTATTGTCACAGCTCCGGATACAGTTTCGGCTACATGATTAGCTAAATAGGATTTTGTTGTGCCACTCATCCGCATCATTTCTTTCGCTGAGACTAAGTAGTATCTCTGCTTAAACCACACAATATTTTACATTATTTGCTTTAGAGATAGCCTAGATAAGTCAAAGAAGAATATGTTCATTACCTGTAGACGAATCGTAATGTATACTATTGGTATAACCACAATCAATACTTGCCATGTGACAATTGCTAAAACTATAAGAACAGAATAAAAGTTTATAGTGGCTCCGACCGAAAAAAGGAGGCTAAATGGCATGTCAAGATCCATAATGCTCAGATCAGATGAAACCTAAACATAGAAAAAGTGGTTCAAATATAATTATTGTTTCTTTCTATTGCATTTCAGAGGAAGTGACTGTTTCATAAGCTTACCCTACTTAGTATCCTTCCCAATGGTGTAGAGTCGTAAAAAGACATCGGTGCTCGAAAGAGGGAGTTCATCAATTGTAAAAATAAATATTTTGAAGAATGAAGACCCAAAGCAACTATGAAGAAACTTCTGATCAACATGAAAAATATTGAAGAAACTCCAATCCAGAAATAAACTAAAATCAACTGCAAGGTGCTGACACGAGGGTTGTCAACATTAGCAGCCATCCATGCGTTTTGCAGTATCTGAGAAACCAAAAAAATGAGGTGACAAAACGAAGCCCCAAAGAAGAAAATATAGCCTTTCATCTTATTCAGATATTGTAAGTAAGGCTTCAACCCTATGTCTCCTTCCTCTCTCTCTTCTTGCATAATTAATTGATTTCCATTTGATTCTTTACACTCTTTTTCCACTAAAGGTTGAATGATCTTTCTAGAAGTGTGAGAAAAATTAACGTTCGCAAGCTGGTTTGAACTAGCAGTAACCTTGTGAGCGTTGACAAGGTCCTGGAATTCTTGGCTTGTTGTGAATAGCTGGTGATATGGTCCAGCTTGTAGGATTACCCCATCTGACATCAACTGTAAAGACAATAAATTTGTTGAACAACCTTAATTTGTGTTTCAAACACATTAAGAACATTGACATTGTACAAATAAGAAACTAAACAAAGTGTTGCAAATATTAGAGCTCTATTATAGATAAGTGGTTACACAAGATAAAATAAGACTAAGAATACAATTAGTATTAGGAAGGGGGAGGTAGCATTTGCTAGAGAGAAAATGATAATGAGAGTTGATCTTTTGAGCATGTGTGAAGAGACTCGTGAAATTTACGTAACGAGAGTTGATCAGATGGAGAATAGTTTAATAGTTGAAGACTGATGAAGAAATTACCAACAAGAAGAATGATGTCATAACAATCTATGTAAGAGGAATGAAATTACCAAAACAGAATCAAAGGCTGGTAGAAATTCTACTTGATGAGTCACGAGTAAGACAGTTTTCCCTTTGAGTCCTTCCATGATGTATTCCTGTCAAGTTTCTAAGACGTCTTTAGTAAATAAATGACAGTAGAGATATACAAGTAGTATGTGAAGAAAATATGTTTTTACATTAAACAAACATTTTGTAGTATGTGCATCAACAGCACTAAACGGATCATCCAAGAGATATATATCAGCATTCTCATATAGAGCCCGGGCGAGTTGAATTCGCTGCTTTTGACCTCCACTTAAATTAACTCCTCTCTCGCCTATTTCGGTGAGGTCACCGTAAGGAAGCAACTCAAGGTCCTTTATCAGTGAAGACCTTTGAAGTGTTTCTTGATATGTTTGATCATCAAACTCGGATCCAAATAAAATATTTTCCCGTATTGTGCCTGTTTGTATCCATGCTGTTTGAGAAACATATGCAAACTTCCCATAAACATCAATCTGCAATTCAGAAACCCATCAAAATAAAATCCACCACATAAAATCGAGTGTATTCATGAACAGAAGGGAAACAAAAGCTTACCGTTCCCTTTGTATTAGGAACTTCTCCTAGAATTGTTGCTAAGAGGGTTGATTTTCCCGAACCAACTTCTCCACAAATAGCCACCTTTTGTCCATGTCTAATGTCCAAATTTATGTTTCTTAGTGTTGAATTTGATACATTACCTTCCCATGAAAAGTCGGCTGATTTTATTAAAACTGAGCCTTTGAGCTTGTCATTAAAGCACCTGCTATTGAAATTTGAACTATGCAGTTCTGGTGCCTCAAGGAAATTACCTATCCGAGCAAATGCAACTTTTGCTTGAATGGTTACTGCAATTACATCTGGGATGCTTGTAATTAGCTCTTGTACAAGGCGTAAAGTTGCTACAAAAGTGAAAACATTACTTGCATGCAAAGGAATTTTCAGTAAGTAGCATGCTAAAAAAGAAGCAGCTGATACAAGCATCGGCGAAATCCAAAAGAGAAAGACAACATATGTCTTTCTTAATAGAACTGCAAATAGAAATTTCAGTTCCACATTTCTTAACTTTTCTATTGCATTTTTAAAATGATTTTCCCATGCATATAGCTTTAGCACTTTCATATTCACTAGAGCCTCAGAACTAGCCTTCAGTCTTTCATCTTGTGCCACCATAAGTTTGCTATGAAACTTGTGATGTAACTTTGCTAATGGAGCGTTGCAAAACACGGTGAGAACTATCACTGGTAGAGATGCTAATGTTGCTAGTCCAATTGCGCGGAAAAGAATTATTGATGCAATGGACAATTGGAGAATTGTTGTCCAAGTCCTATGAAACCAAAATGGAAATTCTCCAATTCTATAAGCATCCACAGTCATATAATTCATTATCTCACCATTAGAGTGAATCAATCTAGCAGAATTGGATAACCTTAATACTTTTTTATAAATTTTTGCAGTAAGTAGTGATCTCACTTTCATCCCAACAATTCTACCCTGAAAATACCATTGTCTTTGTGATAAGGATTCTATGATCTTTATGAAGAAGAGTGATATGGCCAATACATAACCTTCATATTTGAAACTTCCATTACCCTCAGAAACCAATATAAATTCATTTAGAAGTAGAGGACCACAAGATATAGCAAGTACTTTGAGCAAAGCAAAGAATCCTGTTATCAAAATCTCTCTTTGGTGGCATAAAACTATTGTCCAAAAAACCGATGGTTCATTTTGTCTTTGTCTGTTTATTTGTTCTTCGAATGACAAATAACAACATTCTGCTTTTTCAGACTCTCTTAACTTTGGAATATCCTCGTCCTGAAGCGTGTTTTCTTGACCCTTTTTCATCAGCGGATTCAGCCACCAAAATGATATCTTACTAAAGAATCCAGCTTTAGCAAATGGCGTTAATTGGTCATTGAAAGGGTCATCAAGGCTTTCAACTGTGTCTCTCTGAGCACCTTCACTACTGTAAGTGCATAACAACTGCAAAACTGCTCCTATAAAAGATATGACATCTAAACATGTCTTGAGAGATAGTTCTCTAGTGCTAACTGCATACGATATCGATAAACCGCATAATATACCAGAAACAAGAAATATGAGAATCGAAAACAACCACATCCATGCTCTTGAGAGTTGTTTTATCTGAAGACTTGTAGTAAAAGTTACATACAACCATGTGAGTCCATGAAACAGTTCTGGCAACCACCACTTCAGAGGAAAGGCTTTGTGAGTTTTCATGACTAAAATCCAAATTCCTAAGCAAAAATGCAACAAACCAAGAGAGCCATTGGTTATAGCAGAAACTAGCTGCAAGTTTGAATATCTTACTAGACTCCAAAAGGGTCTTGAGGAAAATTTCAGAAACATGATGATTGATAACATGATCAACATGAATAAATCAAAGAAAATGAGCAACAAGTGGTTAATGCATGAAGAAGGATCTTTCAAAAACTTGAAATCGTAACTTATAGGTTTGCCTCCACAAATCATGTTCCAATAATCTTCCATCTTCTTTTTAGTTTCTCTTTACTGATCAAAACTCTGTAACAGGAAGAGAGAAAATTGTATCATTGAGCACATTTTTACTACATGATTTATATTTAAAAGATAATAAAAACAGAGAAAAATTTAATTACCTAGTGAATATTGGATTTTGTTTTCATTTTGTTGCTTGGACAATTTTTATTTATTGAAAATGTTCCACCTTTTAGAGCAAGATACATACGAAAGCATGATTGTTAATGGTTTATATATTTTTCAGTCATGCAATGAAAGAGTTATTTCAAGCGTTATACAATGGTTAATATATATTTATAATTTGATTACTTAAATAAGGTGAAGTGAAAGGGTGAAATTAATATAAATTAATTCAAGAAACTTGCAAGTTGAGTAAATCAAGTAGTTAGTAAAAAAAAGAAAGAATATCTCGAATAGAATATATAATAGTTAAGCGACTTGAGAATTTTTTAATTCATCCTATGTGTTTCTTAAGCATCAGTGTGAATTTTTAAAAATGTCTACAGGAACTGAAAATGTATTTCTGGAATGCACTGACATCTAGTTAAAAAGAACCAATCCCAGAAATGTATTTCCGGTTTATAACCGAAAGTGTATTCCGGTATTATTCATTATAGAATGCAGGAAAACAACACTTACACATTACATCAAGATTTCCAAACAAAACATAAAAAATAAGCAATACATATGAGATTTAAACATATATGTGACATTACACTTCAACATCTGGGTGTACGTTGTAACAACTTCAAAATTTTATCGACCCTTCTTGTAATCATCACATCAAGTTCGATTTGAACATTTTTGCTGTAACCGAAAAAAGTTTCTCACATAGCCCATAAATCAGTGCTTGTATGTATCTCTTTGTTAATGAACTCAAGTTCGTCGTTGTTAATGGATGGAGAGCAGTACTCAATCTTCAAAATTTTCCGATTGTCGTCAAATGATAAAAGTCTCTGTATTGTGTAAAGAAGATTTTTAAGCGGTTCGTACATGTTGGTCTTGAATTTCCTTGATGGTAGATCCTCGTTAATGAAGCGAACCTTTCCAACACGTTAAACGATATTCATTTTTTGTTTGTGTTTAGACATAAGATAACATGAGGGAGAGAGATGAGTTTCTTATATAATAGCTTGAGGATGTTATGGACCACACACATCCTATCTGCTGACAGAATGTAAACCGGAAATGTATTTTCAGTTTACACCTTAACTTGAAAACCGGAAATATATTTCCGGTAAAGTCCTTGGTATTAAAAACTAAAAACCTAAAAATAACAGAAAGAGCAGATTGCATGAAAATATAATAATAGGCATATACATTATCAAAATGGGAATATTCCATGTCATAATTCATTAACAAAAAGACATATACATCAAAATCATATTTAACTACTTAAAAGATCTGAAGTAATTGTCTCCCGATAAATTCACAGGTAGTACACCCTTTGACTTTTCTTTGTTTTTTGCTATTTCAATGTTCTTCAACTTGGTGTGCTCTTGTATCCTTTCAATGAACTGGTCCGACCAAGTCTCAGATTGGTCTATATAATGATTCGCTCACTCCGGTGATGTAGATGGTATATGGCATCCCAGTTTCCTGTACACCTCAACAAGATATCGGGGATTTGAAACCCACCCAACACAAATGATATGATTAGTGGAATTAGATGATGAAGCAGCGCACAATGGAAAAAAAGTTTCCGAGAAACCATATCTTGTAAGATTAATACACACCTTCTCATACGCACTTGCAATGAGATGACCCATCTCAAGGAAACACATCCATTTGTTCTCCGGTGCAAATGCTTCCATGAATGGTACAAGAGCGTTATAGATTTCTTTAAACTTATTCTTATCCCCGTACACTCGTGTGTACAAATCTCTATGGCTCCTCAACTCTTGGATAAGAGTTTGGCGGACAAGTGTGTGATCCTCTTCCCCTTTACCGAGTAAAGCAGAAATAACCCGAAAACCACACTTAATGTCACCATGAACATGGACGATCCAATCAATGTGATTGTGCATAAAAACCGGCATCTCCTCAATGAACGATATTTTTGGTGGAGGCGGTGGAGTTGGAGGTTTGCTTATACGAGCACATTTGAAGACCTTTTTCTGAGATTTTTGTGTCGGTAATCGGGAAAAAGTTTGTCAATGCGTTGAAAATACGATGGACTCCTCATAGTAGAATTTTCACTTGGTGTATGTTTAACCTTTTTTGGTGCTCCTTTTGTTTTAACTGACTGAGACGGTGGTTTCAAGTCGGTTGTCTCTAGAAATGCGATTTTCCTCAATTACTCTTTGATGTGGAGTTTTGTGTTGTCACCGCCTTTCCTAAATCTTTCTTGTATCGCTTTCCATTCTGTCAAGATTATGATACTTGACTTTCCCTCTTCCATTGTAATATCGTCTTCAAAACTCAATCTCTTCCAATGACTACATACTTCGTCCATTCATATCGGGCTATCAAGTTTCACCTTCTTAGATATGACACAAGCACACATGAGACCATATGTTTTCACAATTGTTCAACCACACTTAAAGGTATCAGAGCCTAAGTCAAAGGCTCGTTTGGCTTCATAAAAAATGAAATTAAGAGATGGTCGTGATATGTTGCCAACCAACTGAGAATATAGAAGATTGTCTTTGAACCTGTGTTCCAACACTACGATACTACGATCAAATGATGTTTGAATTTCATTATGCTGGTTAAGTATCATTTGGTTCATAGATTCCCAACCCGTACACAAATCACCCTTGCTATTTCCTAACCAATTCTTCAGACATGCATGAGTCGACTCAACTCGGTTTGTTGTTGTATTTCCGAGATGCATAACCTGATTTGTCCATGCACAAACAATCTTCTCCTTCACCTGATCCAAAATTGTAGACTCAATATATTTCAACAAATTGGGATATTTATTACACACCTTCCTGAAATGTATAACAACTACAACATATAAATATTCGATAGATGCATTTATGATAACATTCCAAGCAGCCATAATTTTCTCCTCAACAACGCCCGACTTAACTAGCTTACCCTATTCAATCTCAATTTGACCTATCCCTACCGCTGGTTTTACCCGGCTTCTCACATTCTTAGTAATTTGATACTTACAAAGTAATGCAGAAGAACTCAGAAACACCTTCGCAACAGAATTCATCAGTACTGTATCGCGGTCGGTAATAATGACTTTTGGCAATGTTTTCTTGGTCCTTTAACATTGACTGACAAACATCTAAAGCCCATGCAAAATTGTCCTCTTTTTTGCACTCTAGAAATGCAAAACCAATAGAATATGTCATTTCAGTCGATGTAACACCAACAATTTCCAACAATGGCATCTTGTACCTGTTGGTCTTGTACGTCGAATCAATTATAAGCACATCCACACATCTCCGGTGCCTACAAATGTAGTTGTTATCATCTAAAAGCTTCAAGAGTTATTGCATTTCAGTTCGATCTCATATAAGTGCCAATTTTGCTTGGTAGCGCTGATTGTATACTTGCTTGATGTTTGAAATATTATCGGGTCTTTTGTGCTTCAATGTGCCAAGTATATTTTTTGGAGAGACCAAATTTAGTGTCATGTCGGACACACATTCCTTCTCTTCCGCCAAGAGGCGACATGCACTAGGATGGCGGACTAACTTTACACTTAAATCATGAATATGTAAACCATTTATGACATTAAACCTCTAATTGTTATTTGATAACCGATACCCACGTAGCCTAAATGGACACTAACATTTTCTTGAACCAATATAATCTCTTTTGAAATTCTTGATAGTCCGCCTATATATCCCACTTCTTTCGCATGTCAATTTCACAAATGCAGGTCGTCTATCCGAACCACTATCGGGTCTTCCTATCACAACACCAAAGCCTTGTTTGGTGGCCTCCGTACGAATCCACTGCATCATGACATCTCAAAATTCATATTCTTGTTCATTTATAAAATGCTTCCACACATCGACCGCCTTGATAACAATAGGCAAAACACCTTGAGAGACAATAGGAGAAATATCTTAGGAAAGAATAGGCGAGACACCTTGAGACACATTAGGCGAAACATCTTGAGACACAATAGCTTTGAGACACTTATCGGGATTCACCATACCTAATATATAAAAAATAGATTAAACTAAGAAATATCCTAGGCAAATAAGAAAATGAAGTTGCTAGAAATAGCTTATTCAGGAACCGGAAGTACATTTCCGGTTAATTTCATCTGTAAATCGAAAATATACTTTCGGTATTAACGTGACATTTTTTTCACAAAGAGAACAAATTAATATGATTAACATAGATTCAAAAGAGGAAGCTTTACCTTAAATTTAGTTTCCTTTAGCTCCTTTTGATATAATTCACCTGGAGAATATTGATTTTGAATGAAAAATAGTACTGAAAATGTGAGGATTTTTTGAAGAGTATTTTGGTCACACTTTTGAAATGACCATGATCAATACCCCATGGACCTTGCTGTTTTAAGCTTTTGGATTCTCAGAATAAACCAGAAATGTATATCCGATTTATATGTGGCAAATTTTTGGGTTATCCCCGCACAAATGTCCCCGATATGTATTTTTGGTTTTTCACCGGTGTTACATTTCTGGTATATTTCTTACATTAAACAAGGGAGTCACGAAATTTTGCCTGTGTTGATAAGCGAAGGGTGCACCCCAGAAATGTATTTTTGGGGGCATTTTCGGTTTTGCATAGGATATTTTTCTCCTATAAAGGGTGCCATAAGAAATTCTTAAAACCTTTGAGTGAATGGAAAATCTGACAAAAACTCTGGAAAGAAAGCTTGACAGAATCTTTTGTAACCAAAGTTGGACCATTTTACTTGCCACCCCCATAGGTTTTACCCGACACCTCCTAAAGTGTATAAAAAGACTAAAATAGTCGAACAAAAAAGTTTTCACTATTATCCGAAATTTCTAGTACACAATCGAAAATTTAAAATTTCTGGGGCGATATCA